CGGGGACGGCCACAAATGGTGACAAAAAGACAAGATTCCAACAAGTTTCCGTGCAGTTCTCCTCAACAGGGCCGATGTTGTTGAAGGTTAGCAAAGCTTCGCGACGTCGCCACATCGGGACAAACTTTAACGCGACCCGGCGATGAGTTTTATGAAAGAACACACTCACACAGACACACAAAAAAAACAATCTTACAGACGTTACGAAATCTTACGTGAAAGAGTTTAAGGTAACTTGAGGGGGGGGGGAGGAGGAGGTTTTGTTTGTTGTAAACGTCAAACACGTGTTCACTTCCCGATGTCGGCCAAAAAGAAATCGCCGTTCGCGCCACTCATTCACTCCCCCACCACCATCATCACCGCCACCATCATCACCATCATCGTTCTTACTTCACGTGTCCTCCTCACACCGACCAGCAATTCGGAAGGCAATTCTAACCAACTACAGACATCATCACTTAAACGCGATTGCAGCTGCTGCTGGTGGAGATGATGATGATGGTGATGGGCTTACTGTGACAGTATCCGAAGGTCGACCCGAACCATGAGGCGTTCAAAAATGTTTACCGGGGGTTTTCTCAAGCCTCTTCGCCGTTTGTTTTTTGTTGTTTGCCTTGCGAGCTCGGCGCCTAAATAAGCAACCTCTTGCCGAGAGCGTCGGATGGTGTCGTCGGTGTCGAACGGAGGACGATGAGGTGGACGAGGAGGAGGAGGAAGGAGGAGGTGGTGGTGGATAAAGGAGGTGAGAGAGCGTGAGGCGCCGCGTTAGCCGCTCGCTCCGTCCGTGGCGTCTCTCACCCCGCCCCCACCCGCCGCCGCCGACACTCAGTAGGGCCCGGGAGGCAACGAAAACCCGGAACGAGACTCCACCCTCCCCCCCCGTTCAGGGCTCCTTTACGGAATGGAGTGCGCGTTCGTCAGAATCAAAAAGCTGTCTCTCTCCTCTGGTGTTGTTAAGGACACTTTTATTTGACAATCAGCGCACGGAGCATACAGGGGCCCCCCACCCCCTGCCCCCCCATCACCAGCCCCCCCACCACCACCGCCCCCCCCCCTACCACCAGCCCCCCCACCCCCTGCCCCCCATCCCCTGCCCCCCCCACCACCAGCCCCCACCACCAGCCCCCCCCACCACCAGCCCCCCACTACCACAGCCCCCCACTACCACCAGCCCCCACCCCCTGCCCCCCCACCACCAGCCCCCCCCCCCCACCACCAGCCCCCCACTACCTCTAGCCCCCCCACCCCCTGCCCCCACCACCACCAGCCCCCCCACCCCCTGTCCCCCCACCACCAGCCCCCCCCCCACCACCAGCCCCTCCCACCACCAACCTATGAAACAGTAAGAAAGTGATTTTTTTAAAACCCGTTGTGGCAACAAAACAGGAGTTTAACACCTAGTAGGCTTTCGCGACCAATATCATCCACAATACAGGTTTTTTGGGGGTTAGATCGCATCAAAATAAATGTGTCGTTAAACCCGCCGCCACCCGGCACAGCCAATTAGTAAGGTTCGTCACGTAAACTGAACATGCCAATTCGTTACGAGTACAGCACACCCGGTGCTGTTGGCCACTCAAAGGCAATGCCATATGTGATCAGAGCATGTTCGCCACAAGTACGTGTGTGGTTACTACAGTACTCGATTCCTTGCAAAAGGTTTATATTTGGTTTTCAAGTTTTCAAGTTAAATTTATTAGGTAGAGCCCTGTGAGCCATGCGGCTCTTAAGTCGGGTGCAACTAAACCGCAACAAACTAAATTTGAACACAGAACATCTTAAAGCGACAACGCGCAACAGAAACATCCTGGAATAAACCAGCAAATATTCCACGCACAAAAAAACTTATTAAAACGCTGCGTGCGAAAATCACAATGTGGTGCAAGCCAACGACAACAACAACCATAAGACAATTTAGATTAACCATGTTTTCGAATCACCAAAATAAAGCTATAAAAACAATGTAACAACAGTAATCATTTGAACATCCAAACACCACCTGCTTTATTGCCAGACAGGGTGAAACCTATTCTTAGTTTTCCATAGAATCAAGAGGATTTGTTTATTTGGACTAGAGGTGGAGCAGGAATCCGATAAGATAAATCTATTTTTTTGTTCACAGATGTCCAATAAGACGGTGGGGATTGGCGAGTCACAGGGACAATGGAACAACAACATAAGAGATAGCAGTACAACATAGAAAACTAAGGAAGTCACTAAAAATAAATAAATGAAAACAAAGTACAGTCTATAAATACGATTTTACTACACTAAATGCAAGCTTGGGTCATGTAGCAAATTAACAATCTCAGACCACACCAAGACAATACGCGCGGTCCCTCAATAAAATTGCACATTGAGTCGTAATTCAACAACATCATCATTATTAGCCATGGGTGTCTGGCATTTGGTGGACATTCAACCCCAAACTCTAGACCGTCGAGTAAAAACCATCGAGACCCATAGAAATGTTATCGACTAACGATATAGAAACTACACCGTGGCATTGTAGCCAAATAACCCAAACTATGGGCCATATAGTAAACCCATAGAGACGCAAACAAATCATATACGGCATGATCATAACGTTAAAACAGTGGCGTATCTCGGCACACTTAAAGTACGCCTCATTTGTCTTGTTTAAAAAAAGGCTGTTATTTCGTTGCCATTTATTTTAGATAAATATTTCTTTTTGTGCGCGTGTGAGTAAACCGCGCGCAATTGAGCAACGTTCAATAAACACAAAAAAAACCCCCAACCTTCTGAACGCTTCTATATTTATACTCTTTGGTTCTTTCGGTAAAGCCACGTAGATAGAAAATTAAAGAAGAAGAATAAAAATTTAAAATATAAAAAACTCACGCCGTTTCGATTTTATATTTCCTCTTGAAAACGAAAGAGCGCACTCCGTTCCGTTCCACCGCCTGGCGTCGCTCCGCTGCTACCCGCCCGGGTTTTCCATCCTCCCAAACCGGGCCCCGACGCTCAGCCTCGCCGAGGTCTCTGGGAGGCTGACGTCACGCGCCCGTGCACCTCGCAATTCTTAGGTTTCAATGGAAACACATGGGGGGGGATGGGTGGGTTGAGAGTTCCTACGATGAATCGGAGAGAGGTGGCGGCAGGCAGCCCTCTCCGTCGCTGCGACGTTGGCCCTCGTCCGCTAGAAGGGGGCCCACTCACTCGAAGCTCGTATTTGGGTTACTCGTTCACTCTGGGCCGAACGGTTCTGAAAGAGGCGGGAGTAGCAGCACTTTACACTGCTGCATGTGACCTGCCGATAGGACTAGCTCGTGTGTTCCGTCGTTGCTAGGCCCCAAGGGCCACTTGGCTTGCGGCCCCCGACAATACACGTGAAAACACCCCCCCCCCCCCCCAACATCATCATTACCGTGCTACTGCTGTCAAACCACCCAATGGTTTCACATGCGTGGCAGCCCTCACACTGATTATGTCTTATCGGCGAAAGTGCCTCTCCTTTGAAAATGAGTAAAGAAAACACCGGACTGTCTAGCTGCTGGTGGTGTACCCAATTCTGCTTCTGGGTGGCGAGATAAAGGGCCTCCACTCGAGGGAGCTCTGTAAACACCCATACATGGATACCCAAAGAATATGAATTCCCGCAGTCACGAGAGCTTTAAGTCACCCAATGATACCCAAAGAAAATGAATTCCTGCAGTCACGAGAGCTTTAAGTCACCCATACAATGATACCCAAAGAATATGAATTCCTGCAGTCACGAGAGCTTTAAGTCACCCATACATGGATACCCAAAGAATATGAATTCCTGCAGTCACGAGAGCTTTAAGTCACCCATACATGGATACCCAAAGAATATGAATTCCCGCAGTCACGAGAGCTTTAAGTCACCCATACATGGATACCCAAAGAAAATGAATTCCTGCAGTCACGAGAGCTTTAAGTCACCCATACATGGATACCCAAAGAAAATGAATTCCTGCAGTCACGAGAGCTTTAAGTCACCCATACATGGATACCCAAAGAATATGAATTCCTGCAGTCACGAGAGCTTTAAGTCACCCATACATGGATACCCAAAGAATATGAATTCCCGCAGTCACGAGAGCTTTAAGTCACCCATACATGGATACCCAAAGAAAATGAATTCCTGCAGTCGCGAAAGCTTTAAGTCACCCATACATGGATACCCAAAGAATATGAATTCCTGCAGTCACGAGCTTTAAGTCACCCATACATGGATACCCAAAGAATATGAATTCCTGCAGTCACGAGCTTTAAGTCACCCATACATGGATACCCAAAGAATATGAATTCCTGCAGTCACGAAAGCTTTAAGTCACCCATACATGGATACCCAAAGAATATGAATTCCTGCAGTCACGAGAACTTTAAGTCACCCATACATGGATACCCAAAGAATATGAATTCCTGCAGTCACGAAAGCTTTAAGTCACCCATACATGGAATTGGCCAAACATCATCACAGAGGACCAGAGTTTGAAAATTGTTGGCGTGAGATTTCGCTTGCCTTCCCTCTTGTCGGTGGTTTCCCGTGCCTCTATGCTTCTAACTATACGAGCAGTCCTTCACTTACGAACCCAACTCGTTCCTAATACCCGTTCGCGAGTCGTAACAGTAATCTGATTTAAATACCCAGACACACAAACACTCCCACCCAGCACGAGGCTGACTCATTACATCTCGCGGAGCTGAAAAAGATGTTGCCGCGGTTCAATTTGCAAGTGAGAGTTCGAGTTTTAAGTCAGTGTTAAAAAAACACACATTTCATGGAAGCTGGTTCGTAAGTGCGGGTATTCGTGTCGGGTGTTCGTAAGTCGGGTATTCGTAAATCGAGGACTGCCTTACGCGAGTTACAAATTCTTCAATTTGCATGAAATATGCCACCTAACTTACTTGCATTCACTACATCACCCGATGCGGCCATAACATTGTTACACAGAGTGGCTTACTGCACTCTTAGAGCAAAGCAACTGGTAATGTCACAACTCGAAACTCTGTTGTTGCCGTCAACTTTAATGTGGAGTTTATTTTGCATTTACAGTAGCACTTGATGTTCAAGTACATTATTAAGGATGTAAAGCGCACATTAAGAATGCATAACATTTATACAACACAGAACTGAAAAGGCCCAGTAGAGGCATCGTGTGATAGGCATGGACCCTGGTACAACGAATAAAATGGGGGGGGGGGGGCTGGAAGCGATCAATTGGGAGCCCTGGAGGAAGGAATGAAATGGGGGGGGGGGGCCCTGGAGGAAGGAATGAAATGAGGGCCTGGAGGAAGGAATGGAATGGGGGGCCTCACCCACCCTATTCATTTGTCCTCCCCTCGTCGTAGCCCAGCGCCTGCCCCCCCCCCCCAAAAAAAAAAACCTGGGCCTTCCTACAGTTGCCTTTCCTGTGCACTCAACAGCTATACCACTATAGACACCACCTACGCACCACAATGTTCCCCCCAGAAACGATTAATCCGTATGTGTAACTCTTAGCAAACATTGCGATATTTCATTTTAAAGAGTGATTAAAGGATACCAGCTGATGGTTATAATTATTGGCAACTGTTTACTATACAGGACAATGTCACTCCCATTTCGTTGGGGACAATGGGCGGTGATGCGAAATGGTTACGTGTGAACACCTGTAGTCATGAGTTACACCACTGTGCACCAATACTGCACTTGGTGTACGTGGTTACTTGGCTTAGATATGCGCCAGTCGAATATGCAACGTGCACCCATATAGAGCAGCTGTCCCCTTCATAGTCACCTGTTTAGGATCAGCCTTTCAAACCACCGTGCATTTAGTAGGTGCTACGGAAAGATGCTCCTTCAAACGAGGAAGATTAGTCATTCCCGGAGAGTTGAGTTTTAATTCCAGGATCTAGATTTATACAACGCCTTAACCAAGGCGCTTTACAGCAATTATACAATTGTACATAGGATGATTTGAAATTAAGATGTAGGTTAAGTGATGTAGTTTTGATGACAGGCAAAACAAGAGTGATTGATAGGGAGGGGTTGGGATAGGCCTGGTCTTAGCTGGGGGTGGGGAGCGACAGAATGTTGGGGGACTGAAAAGTAATGAGGCATCATTGCGTTGTGAAGACAACACTTCTCCCACCAATGCACACGAGGCCCTGACTGCCCAATGCAGCATAGGAGGCGGCATGTCTCTGCTTGAACCGTATCAGGACACACTTCATTACTTCTCAAATTGGAACCGTTGCCCAAGCGCTTCTAATCTGGAGGGCCAAACAGATGGAGACCACTCGGAGCCAAACATTCTTGAACCTCGCTTCACTGCCACTATGCAATGCTCCAAGGATTTAAAAAAACTTTGCCGAGGCTTTTTTTTATAAACATGGAACTTTGGACCAACGTTGCCCAACGTTTTATGTTTACCAACCGGTTGGTGAACACAGGCCCAAAGAACCAAGCGGCCAGCTTGGTTCTTTAAAAGTTGTAGATAATTAACCCATTAATTGAAATGAAGGTTGTGAGAACTTCGGAAAATAGGCGGTTGGAGGGATTTACAAAGTGGAGCAGCGCGAGGGGAGAAGCAGAGTAGTGTTGTGACCGACAGTGAGGTTGTTGAACAAAGTACGAATGAGACAACCGGGAATGAATCGTACCATCCGTGGCTTATGGCTTAAACGTGCACGGCTGCGTCACTAAGCGCAAAACTGTTCTAGAAGCCCGTCTCCACGCAACATTGGCCCCCAAACACCTGTCACGAGTCCTTGCGTTTCAACTATTTATTTAGGCCTGAAACAATATCTACAGGAGATGCGAATTATGTTTGCAGACCTGTTGTAGTGCAGAGTAATAAATGCATGCTTAAATTTGGACTTCAGTGTCTGCCAGCGAGACATGGAAAAGTCATGCATATTTCAGAGATGCTTATACAAATCGTATTGTATCATTGTTTTGTGGCGTGGAGCAGTGGCATGGTTAGAGCATTGCGCTATGAACCCGGCTCCCCGAGTTTGAATCCCGGGCCACGGCTAACATTGGCAGTGGGCATCGAACTGTTCCTGGGCGTGCCCTTCACAAACCCGCACTGACCAGCGTGGCGAGGTATGGTCAAAGAACACGATGACCAACACGGCATTGGAAGGCCTTCATCCAGTGGTGGGTTGACGAAAGGGCTTTGCACTATTACGGTATTATTGCATTGCTTCGTTACCAAAAGAGGGGCGTCAAATCATTTCAACTCGTACGTTTGTACTTAAAAATCTCGGTGTGTACATTGCCAACATGATTACAGTTACACAACTTGCGTATAATACAGCGCAAATTATATTCCTTGAAAAAAAATGCCGAAAGGTGACGCAACGTGCACAAACATCTGTCGATAAAATGTGACACGAGCTGGTTGGGTGGGAGCCACCTGCATCATCAGCTAGGAAATGGCCGAATGGCACTGTGAAAAATGTCTGTTTCATTTTTTTTGCTGGGGCCACATCAGTTTTCCGCTTGCAGCATCTCCTCTATCTCGTCCTCCCAAGATCCCTTGTCTTCATCCTCCTCGATGTTGTAGTCCTGAATCTCCTGCTGAATCTTCTCCTCCCACTCGGCATCTGCAAAAGTAGGAACGTGGAACGTTAAATTGGAGGTCAAGCGATGTTGAACCTCAGTTGGCCTGTAAGTGCCAGATCACGTTTTCCAGATAAGCTGTTTCACGTGCAAAAAAAACCATACAATTAAATGATCGTTATAATCCCTAGGAAGACTTGACGAAACACAACTATCCAAAGCAAAATGGAAAATCTGGAAAGGTTAACTGCACGAGGAACAATGCGAGCTGTTATACGCCTTCACACAACCCTGTTAATACATTCCAACATTAAAACTGGAGCTGGGCATTTTGAACAATTTCAACGCCTTGCGTGACATCGATATTCAAATGACGCTAATCATTATCATCCACTCAGCCAATGCCAGCATCGCTCTTCTATCACAGCAGCGGTCAGGATCGGCTTAGGTCATCAGCGTCGTTAACGCCGAACAGCTGAACGACCCGATGCTCCACAAGACAAAAGATCCCCCTGTATAGCCTGAACAGACTATCGGGGCAAGTGCTGTTACCAAGCACCTATGAGAGCCGGTACAGCACACGAGGGGGTGGGTGGCCAGTACCACGCCCGGCAGACCTTCGTCTCCCCAGCGGCGATGTTTACACACTGCCACTGGGGAGACAGTACTAGTGCTGAGCGAAATAAGTAACCATATGAGACAACACCGACGTCCTTCATGGACGTTCTATACGTACGGCCACGATGCTGGTACCAACGTACGGTCGCTTACATCCGTACAGCACCAATCCAGACTCACGATTAGAGCACTTCCGTCATTTACACCTCGTGCTCATATAATCGTTTTACCGACAGCGCCCGCGGTGTTGTAATTATGCTGAGGCTTCCCGTCATGCGTTGCCGGCTCCGCTGCCCCGGCACCACCTCCTGCTGTTCTCTGCGCCGCGTCTCCTCCTCCTCCGGTTGCCGCCGCCGCCGTGACCGCCGCCGCGCTGTCCGACTCCTTGCCCATGCCCAGCTCCCGCATGGCCTTCTGCAGCTCGTCGGCGCACAGACGCGTGCCGCCCGGGTCACTGAACGCCTCGCTGGCGAACTCCTCCGGGTTCGGGCTCATCGACATCTCCTCCTCCTCTCCCTTGCCGGGGCAAAGGAGAGGCGGCACGGGCACAGCAACCAACTGAGTATCTGAGAAAAACTCAACGCGTTCGTTAATAACGCTGCGCGGCAGGGTGGCGCAATTTACGTTAAATATTCGGGCACCTTTCTGGGTGAAGTTCGTTCGTTCACCCCCCCCCCCGTATTCTTCAGAGCGTGCGCGAGTGTGGTCGCAAACATACATTTGCCGTCTGTAAATCACCTTTTTTTGCGTATTATTACTCTTTTAGTAAATATTTTACCGTGTGTGGTGGGTTGTGAGAATCGTATTTTTGTTCAGATCACGGCACCATACCTCTGGTCCAGTCGCCTGTTTCGTTATCGACAGCGGTGGCGTCCTTGGTTTGGTGGAGTCTAAAACAGCAAATTAAAAATCAGTAATTGAGTCATTTAGACACAATAAATCAACTCTATGCATGCCTTAATGAGCTTGGCATAAGCGCTGTGGTCACGTCACCGCCACTTAGTGGCTAATGGCGGCTGTTTTTGTTTTATTCCGTGACACGGCCGAGCGGGTGTGCCTTTTGACGCTCTTTACAGAGGTTCGTGGTTTGAGCTCATTGGCCGCCCTGGTTCGCAGTGAGCCTCAAAGATACTTTGACATTATTTGAAAAAAGTGAATGCCATGTATGCCAGCATCATAATCCAAATTTGTATAATTTTCAAATTACTTGCGAATGACCTAAAGCAACATTGCCCATTACTGTGAAACTACTGCAGGCTATAGTCGTCTGTGAAACACAGCACCTTTGTTATAGCCTTGAGCTTGAAGAATGGCACCAACACTACAAATATTTACTGAAACAACTCAAAAAAGTTTTTGCTAATGCTCTGAACCAAACTGCAGAGGGAATGGCCAAGACTGGCTTTCTTTTGACAAACACTCGTGAAAGCAGTGGGGCCCTACCTGTGGAGTCGTGTGTCCACGCAGAGTCTCTGCTCTCTCCTGCCCGCATCTCCAGCTGCTCGCAAGCCGTGGGGGAAGACGACTGAGGTGAAGCGGCCAATGCTGTCAGCTGGGATGACTGCTTCACTAGCGACACGCGGTAAAAGTAGTTCCTCCAGAACCGGTCTTCTTTCACCCTGTGGGGAAGGGGTTGCACGCTTCCAATCAACGACCGCAACCACATCCAGAACTAACGAACCCAAATCGGTACTTGAGCGACTCATCCACACTGGCCGGTCGATTTAGAAGAGGTGGAAGTACCCACACTTTACCCCACCACACATTACCCCACATTACCCCACCACACTTTACTCCACCACACATTACCCCACCACATTTTACTCCACCACACTTTACCCCACTACACCCGACCTGCTTAGTGAATAACTGTGGTTCACCCTACTCTTTGGTTTTTTCGGTAAAGTCACATAGGTAAAATAAATGGAAACAACTAAATTAAATCACGACGTTTCGGAGGCAACACAAGCTTCCGTCTTCAGGTGGAAACCGTCACAGCATTTTTTTTTACTGCTGAGTGGACAGAGGAGGTCGTGAGGGGCGGGCAGAGATTTAAGAAACCTGCATCATTGTTTCTACTGCTGTGCCGGGAGAATGAACTTGCGACTTGTGGTTTGCAAGTCCACTGCTGATCCTTTCGCCACCGATCCTTTCGCCAGCAGTGCAATTGTATGGCACCTCCGTTACCTTTATCTCTCTCAAAACATTCCTGCCTCTTTGGCCTACACCAATCTACCAACGACCCAGAAATTAAGCCCTGGCACAGTGGCATACGTGGCACCTCTAGTGGACACCACGAGACCGCATGTGTGTGAATGCCGGTGGGGAGCGGTAGTGCAGTGGTTAGCGCGCTGAACTACGAACCTTGGCTACCCGAGTTCGATTGCCGCTCACGGCCACCAACACCAGTGGACCTCTCCTCGGTCGACTCAGCCTCAAATGAGTACCTGGTGCGGTGTGTAAACATCGCTACTGGGGAGACAAAGGCGGCCGGGCGTGGTGCTGGCCATCCACCCCCTCGTGTGCTGTGCCGGCCTTCATAGGTGTTTGCGAACAGCACTTGCCCCAACAGTCTGTTAAGGCTATACGGGGGATCTTTATCTTTTGGAACGCCAGTGCCGAAAGACCCTCACAGTTTTGGCACAAGGTCGAAGCGCATCTGCTTGAGCAGCTCGTCCTCCTCCAGCATCACTGTGGCGACGGGGAAGGTCTCGTCGAAGTCGAAGTGGAACTGCACACCGTCCGGCGGGTCTCGCAGGAAGTTCCGTCGCTCCTAATGAACACCACGCGATGTCAGCAAACACCGTTACCATCTTCATCACCATCATCTTCGTCATCATCGTCACTCGGTCACACACGCATACAGTTCAACCCTCCGCTCGTTCATTGTATGTGAAGAAAAACTCAACACATTGGTCAATAACACTGCACCGAAGCAGAATGAACCATTTCCGCATCAACGCAAGAAAAATGGGACTAAATATTTCATGGCAGAAAAAGAAAACTCCAGAACTTGGGCTCCGGACTTCCAGAAGCAAGCCTGCGTGATGATTGGTAACGCTGTCGAAGCAGGGGAGGAATTTTGCTAGCTCGGATCTGTACAGACCACTGATGGGACGATGTAGACCCGATGTCATGCGCCGGACGTTTTCGGGCAGTGGACCTTATTCAAATATCTCTGCTATGAATAAGGGCCATTGACTGAAACGTTACCTCTGAAATAATTTCCCCACCCTATGGCAGTGTTATTGACCACGTGTGGAGGTTTTGTTTTGAAGGGACTTCTCACCCAGGGAAGCAAGTAAACAATTGTTGCAAATACATTTTATACTGACATGAGCATTGAGGCGCTGCTCATCGAGTTTCAGCCCTGGGTCAGTGGTGGAAATTCCATATTCCTATGGTAGGGGTCGAGTTCATCCATGGGACAACCACCGTTGACTTCCCCGCAAAGCAGTGGCTCTTGGCTAGCCATGGAATGAGGCCGGTCACCGCATCGCGCCTTCAGATATGCTTCTGCGGCCATCTGGAACGCTCTTCCTTCCGATATTAGGAAGCCACTGGAGCTATGCACTTTTACATCTAGATTGAAAACACATTTCTTTAGAATTGCTTTTTGTGATTACTTTGTTGTATTTCCCCACACCTACGATTAGCACTGCTATATACGGTGCAAATAAAGTTCTACATACAAAGGAGTACTCATCTTATTGCATTTACTAAACCAGGATTTGAGCTCGCAACATTCCGATTGCGAGATGCTCGCTCTGTTGCTAAGCCACCTGGCCGAATAAAGTTTATACACGTGTTATTTTTGTTATTTAACACATATATATTCGGATCAATATTAATCTATGTATCCTTGCATCATATATAAAAAGGGATTAATTTAATGGAACTAAATCTCAGCCTGGTTGGCGACGCAGAGAATATATCTGCATCCGTGGCATCCTCATCCGCTCCTCCGATTAGCACGGTGGGCTATGTACAGTATAAAAAAAAGTTAAACATACATCCAGTATACATCTCACTATGGCTGTGGCTGCTCGTCACATGCCACCTTTTTTATTTTTTTTATTTTTTACCAGGTAAGGCCCACTGAGCTACATAGCTCTTTTTCAGAAGTGACCTGGCCACAAACGATAGCTCAACCAAGTAGCCTATCACATGGAAATGTACAGCAGCCAAATACTAGAAACGTGTGCTTCTAAAATGTGGAGGGAAAAACTTAATAACCACGGAGAAAAATTCGCGCGACCACAGAGAAAGAGGCACGCAAACACCAAATATACAGGAGGCGTCAGTGTCGTCTAACGGGTACTCGCTCGCAGTGGCGATGCCAAGGAACAGGTTGCATCTCACCGCGGAGAGGGCCAGGATCTGCTGCCGAACCGTGTCCTCGTCGTGACAGCCAACCCACGGGGGCACCGCCACATCTGTCACACACACGGCGTTCGCGGTGACGCAGGTTCATGGCAGTGCGGCGACACCGGGATATGGAAGCCTGCAGGTTTGCAGTTGCCTGGCCCATCTGCGTTGAACTCGCTTGTGTGTGGTGTGGTAAAGTGTGGGTATAACCATCTCGCACAATACATCTGGCCAATGTGTAAGAGTAGACTTAATACCCTCTTGGAGTTCACTAGCAGTGGTGTAAGGCAATTGCAACCCTGCGCCTTTACCTTTTTAAAAAAATCCCAACTGTATTCTTTACGTCAATTATACAAGAAATTCACTCAATCCTACAGTTTTACCCTTAACTTAAAATCCTTTGTTTATTATGAGGTGAGAGCCCATTGAGAATATCTCTTTTTCAACATCTGCCACAAACAATAACTTTCCAATTATATATTACAGAAGTAAAATACCGACATGAAATGGAGATGAAGTTGTAAAAAAAAATGAGTGTACATTTTAAATATGGAATAAAGTGTGATAACACTATTATCTGATTCATAATACATTTTTAGATTAGGCCACTTAATGTTCGATCCAAATTTGAGTCGTAGAATCCTCAACCACCGGACGTAGCCAAACAAATTAAATTGGTACGCAGTGCACAAGCGTCTAACAACACGACCAAGTGCTGTTTCAGCTCACCGGCCTGTTAAACGCGTGTACGCATGACAATTTAAGGTATAGGGTTTTACGACACAAATTTCGCTAGGTCATTCAGTAGCCTAACCCAAATATCAATTACGAATCATAGCATTGGCCGCAAAAACAATACGCTGCAAGTGAATACTCTTACCGGATCTCTTTTTAAGATTCTCCTGCTTAAATTTCTCTTGCTCCTTGTTGAATTCCCCAAGAATGCCCTAAAGCCAACGAATACACGAACAATGAGATTTAGGCTGGTTGCTATTGCTGAAGCGTTTTTTGTTCTCACGTCTCACAGCACTATGGGACCTTTTTTCCAGTATCAAGATGATGAAAACATCAGAATAGGCTTTACCCTTGCTGGCAATAAAACACAAAATATATAAATTTAGATTTAAAGCTTTCGTGACTGCAGGGATTCATATTCTTGGTTCTTTCGGTAAAGTCACGTAGAAGGGAAACAATAAAATAATAAAAATATAAAACAATAAAATATTATATTTTTATTATTTTATTGTTTCCCTTCTATGTGACTTTACCGAAAGAACCAAGAATACAAATATATACCTATTGCAAGGCATCAAAAGTCTGCATCATATGCAATGCATATATTACCACAGTATGTTTTTTGCATGTTTTGCCAAGTATGTGCGGTTAGTGCAGACATGATGCCTTGCAATAGGCATCTATTTGGTGTTTGAATACCTTAACACCTGTTTTATTGCCAGAATGGGTGGGGTATGGCCTATTAAAAAAAATCATCGTCTCACAGCACCGTTTATATATTTGTACAAAATAAGAAAAACTTTGATATATCCAATGCATTGGTAGGCCTCTGTGCCATTAACGGCTTTGGCCGTGGTGACGTCTCGATCATCATCTTAAAAAAAAAGAATACAGATTTCAAGCTGTATAGATTGTAAACACTATTTCCATGTTTAACTTCAGATAATTTCACACTTTAAGATGACTGTGATGAGAAATTACAGGTTACACTGTTAGCGCCATTTTAAATCCCGGAAGTAAAGCAAACGAATTTAATCTTGAACAGGTAATTAAATAAAACCCAGGGATGGATTATGTGTGATCACTCGCCCCTTGTTTTTTTTAAACTACGACACACTTAAGCCACGTGGCCCTCCAGCTACGGTTGCACTAAATGTACGGGAGTGACACCACAGCGATGTCACTAAAGCTGACCTGACTGACGTTGACATGATTATTAATCTGTTCTCATTGGAGGTGGCCAGGTGAATCAGACGGCTAAGCGGTGAGCAGCTTGCATTGCTCAGATCCTGGATTTTAATCCAGGCAGCTGCCTGTGATTAAGTCAGATTCTCAAAGCTTGCGAGTTGATTATATAATTTGGTTGAAGTCCAACTATGAGATTATAAAATATTAGTTTGTCATACGAGGCAGGAAAGGTGTTAAAGTGTTTCTCTCTATTGTGAGGACCAGGCCATTTGAAGCTATCTCAGATGTAGCAGGCTTTGTGATATCCTTCATAATAAAGGATTCGTGATATCCACCTGCATGGTCCACTCTCTAACATGGAGGCTTGCACTGCTCTGGGAAGAATCCGATTGGATTCTTTGTCCCATGACACGGCACCATTAACACAAATCGGTCAATTTATTTTAAAATAACCGTACGAAATAATATGAATAGATCCCTGTTTAGAGATTAGTTCATGACCACCACGTGTGTTCTATACGGACTGCAATGTTGGCCATACCTTGTCCAAAATCACGTCCAGCTTCCCCTCCTCCACCGTCTTTCGCAGCGTCTGTGCCGTCTCTAACACCGACTCGGACACCTTCTTGGTGGCAGAGACAGCCACATTGTAGAGGTAGTCTGTACAAAGCGGCGGAGGCAACATCATCATCGTCATCATCAGCCATGATAAATACACTGCTGGATGAAGGCCTGTATGTACGTACGTATGTTGAACCTCTTTGGCACCGTACGTGGCCAACCGTGCTAATTGGAGCTGCGGGGGAAGGACAACAAACTAAATCTAAAAAGCAGTTATAAAGAAATGGGTTTTCATTCTAAGGCCTCCCCAAGGCGTTGCCATCACTGCCGGTCCTGCATTGCGACAATCCATCTAGCATTTGCGCTTGAACCGAGTCCACTGCACCATATCCACAGTGGACATCCTCCCCGGCCAGTTCCCTCCTTTGGCTGCCACTCCATCGTTAGTCTCGACCAACTGCCACCACCTTTTCTAGCGACGTGCCCTACCCAAGGCCACGTACATTTCCGAAGTCAAAATAATATCTCTAACCTGCCTATGTTCTATAATCCTTGAGCTCCTCTTTCTGTCATTCATTATAATTCCCAGCATGTCTCCTGCATGTTTCTCTGCACACTTTTCAGCCCTTATTCCATTATCTTTGTCGACAACAGATTACTCGTAGAAAAGCCACTCCAATTGAAAGAGCCCATGAAAATGTAATCATTGGAAGAACTCAGCCTAACGATAACACTTAGCCTACACTGTAGACCCATTTGCAAATTTCTGTTTACATAAAATCATGTTGGATGTATGGCCAAATGCTGTCACGTCAAATAAGTATAACCACATCAATACTCCATGTCTAGTTCAGATAAATATAAAAGATAACTTTCACTAGAAGTCTAACTCTATGTTTTTCAATGCGCAAAAGCACGTTGAGCCAATGGAAAAGTGTGCCACGTGAAAGACTTTAACTGGCCATCCCACGCAGATGGTTGCTATTACATTCAGCAATCGTCAGCCAGTGTTGCTGGGTTTTAATCCAAGTGCTACCCCCTTACGAAATGAAACGTGATATGTTTAAGTACCGCATACTTTATTTCTCCTGATTACGAGATGGAATTTTACGTTGTGTAATTTTAACCAACATTTTTGGTACGATTTTGTGTGTGACCAGATTGTTTTAAACTTTATTAACAGGCATGGGGCCACACGTTTGGGGTGCATCTTAAATGCCCGGCACATCTTATCCAGAGAATATGGTAGCACTGCCAATGTAGTCCTGCCACCAGGCCAAGAGTCGTTTCCACATGACTATGTGGAGATATTTTACTAAGTAAGATTAGTAAGCATACTGTATTCAGAATTTTGGGTTGCCATTTTCATGAATGCCGTGGTATAGAATCCAAATATTACTATTGTTATTCCCTTGACTTCCTGATTTCAGGAGCTTAAGTATTTACAATTTCCCCAAAGATACAGGCTAATACTAACCCGGACCAAATTGTCTAAGGGAAATACACTAAAACACACATGGACCCATTCTACCTCTGTGGCCTCTGTATGCTGTGAAGAGCCATTGCCAGAACCTTCGCCCTACTATATGTTATCATCAGTTTTGAGGCGGTGTTATTCACGATTGTGGAGTTTATTTTGTAAAAAAAAAGGATACGGCCAATGCATTTGATGCCATTGCTTTCTTCCTTCTGCCAGATCCCAAAGGTGTTACAGGCGACACCTGATTCAATGGCATCAAGTTGCTGGCTGCGAGTGTGTCGCCTTATGCATAATACAACATGACAATCAATCATTCATAAACAGGATTTATCACTGTCACCGTGAGGAAGGGCAGATCCCCACGTTCTGGCCAAGAGGCCTTCTGGATATATTTAAGCTCGGAGAGAGACTTAGAAATTAACATAGGTTGGGAGTTTCAGCGGTCCGTGATGATGCGCACAGTCCTGTAAAAAAGTTACTTATATGAAGGTTAATACCAAATCTTTCAACCAAACATTCGCAACCACGGGGCTAGGAGGGACAAATCAAGACGATACAAAACTAATGTCTCATGTTACATATCTAAAGATAGTCCCTATTATGAGACCCTCTCCAATATGTATCAAAAACGACGAACCCTCACTATCAGGTTTAAAGTCACATTCTGTCTCAATAAGTTTAGCTAATAAACAAAGTTTTTTTTTTTGGGGGGGGGGGGGGGGGGGGGCTGGATAGGTGCTATAGGCTGCTGTGGGGCTGTGGGTGACCAGCAGAGGGAAGCGGTGAAGCCAAAATCGATCGTTGTACCGTACCGCTCCATTGCACCCTTGGCTTCACCAAACCAGCACTGGACCAGCGTGGTGAAGTATGGTCACAATAGCCACGGCAACTACTGTATGAGGGGAGGCCCCGACTCATCCAAAGCAGTTGGGTTGACGAAGTAGCCGTACTTGTACAACACACATATACTGTATACACAGATACTGTATACAGTATACACACTATACTGTACGCACACATATACTGTATACACATATACTGCATACAGTATACACACTATACTGTACGCACACATATACTGCACATAATATACAGTATATACATATACTGTACACAGCACGCCCATACTGTATACAGTATACACATTGACGGCACACACCCATACTGTATACAGTATACACATTTACAGTATACACCCATACTGTACCCAGTATACACGTATACTGTATACACATATACTGTATACACGTATACTGTACACAGTATACACATATACTGTATACAGTATACACACAAGCGTGTGAAGCAACCTTGACGTGCTGACGTGAATACCGCCACGTCTGTGTGTGTGACCACGTCTGTGTGTGTGATCACGTCTGTGTGTGTGACGTCTGTGTGTGTGTGACGTCTGTGTGTGTGTGACCACGTCTGTGTGTGTGACGTCTGTGTGTGTGACCACGTCTGTGTGTGTGATCACGTCTGTGTGTGTGACGTCTGTGTGTGTGTGTGACCACGTCTGTGTGTGACGTCTGTGTGTGTGTGACCACGTCTGTGTGTGTGTGAGCACGTCTGTGTGTGTGTGACCACGTCTGTGTGTGTGACGTCTGTGTGTGTGTGACCACGTCTGTGTGTGTGTGTGTGACCACGTCTGTGTGTGTGTGACCACGTCTCTGTGTGTGTGTGACCACGTCTGTGTGTGTGTGACCACGTCTGTGTGTGTGTGACCACGTCTGTGTGTGTGTGACCACGTCTGTGTGTGTGACGTCTGTGTGTGTGTGAGGACGTCTGTGTGTGTGTGTGTGACCACGTCTGTGTGTGTGTGACCACGTCTCTGTGTGTGTGTGACCACGTCTGTGTGTGTGTGACCACGTCTGTGTGTGTGTGACCACGTCTGTGTGTGTGTGACCACGTCTGTGTGTGTGTGACCACGTCTCTGTGTGTGTGTGACCACGTCTGTGTGTGTGACCACGTCTGTGTGTGTGTGTGACCACGTCTGTGTGTGTGTGACCACGTCTGTGTGTGTGTGACCACGTCTGTGTGTGTGTGTGTGACCACGTCTGTGTGTGTGTGTGACCACGTCTGTGTGTGTGTGTGACCACGTCTGTGTGTGTGTGACCACGTCTGTGTGTGTGTGACCACGTCTGTGTGTGACCACGTCTGTGTGTGTGTGTGACCACGTCTGTGTGTGTGTGTGACCACGTCTGTGTGTGTGTGACCACGTCTGTGTGTGTGACGTCTGTGTGTGTGTGACCACATCTGTGTGTGTGACCACGTCTGTGTGTGTGTGTGACCACGTCTGTGTGTGTGACCACGTCTGTGTGTGTGTGACCACGTCTGTATGTGGGTGTGTGACCACGTCTGTGTGTGACCACGTCTGAGTGTGTGTGTGTGACCACGTCTGTGTGTGTGTGTGACCACGTCTGTGTGTGTGTGACCACGTCTGTGTGTGTGTGACCACGTCTCTGTGTGTGTGTGTGTGACCACGTCTGTGTGTGTGTGACCACGTCTGTGTGTGTGTGACCACGTCTCTGTGTGTGTGTGACCACGTCTGTGTGTGTGTGACCACGTCTGTGTGTGTGTGACCACGTCTGTGTGTGTGTGACCACGTCTGTGTGTGTGACCACGTCTGTGTGTGTGACCACGTCTGTGTGTGTGTGTGTGACCACGTCTGTGTGTGTGTGTGACCACGTCTGTGTGTGTGTGTGACCACGTCTGTGTGTGTGTGACCACGTCTGTGTGTGACCACGTCTGTGTGTGACCACGTCTGTGTGTGTGTGACCACGTCTGTGTGTGTGTGACCACGTCTGTGTGTGTGTGTGTGACCACGTCTGTGTGTGTGACCACGTCTGTGTGTGTGTGACCACGTCTCTGTGTGTGTGTGTGACCACGTCTGTGTGTGTGTGACCACGTCTCTGTGTGTGTGTGACCACGTCTGTGTGTGTGTGACCACGTCTGTGTGTGTGTGACCACGTCTGTGTGTGTGTGACCACGTCTGTGTGTGTGTGACCACGTCTGTGTGTGTGTGACCACGTCTGTGTGTGTGTGTGACCACGTCTCTGTGTGTGTGTGACCACGTCTCTGTGTGTGTGTGACCACGTCTGTGTGTGTGTGACCACGTCTGTGTGTGTGACCACGTCTGTGTGTGTGTCTACGGTGTCTTTTCCTCATCGTCAGTACACAAACGGATGGGTTGGAACCCAGGTTACAGGGGTCGACGGCAGTCGATAACCACTCACTGCCAAACACGCCAGCCTGTCCCGTCACATCCAGATCCTCATAATCGTTCTCCTGCTGCTGCTGCTCCTCCTGCTGCTGCCGCCGTTCCTGCTGCTCTTGACGACCATCTTCCTGCCTCTTCTCCTCCCCCGTCGTCTCCTCGTCGTCCTCCCGCCTCTCCCGCTGCCCGTCTTGGCTGTGCCCGCCGCCGAACCAGCTGCCCAGGGACTTGAACATGACTCGCTCCTTCTTCTTTGTTGTAATCTCACCCCGGGGGAGGAAGGGAGTGGGTCTCGCTCTCTATCTCTCGGGATTCTCACACGAGTTCAACGCAAATGTCCTCTGGGAAACAACTTCTCCCACCTTGCCCGCGTTATTGCTCTTGCAAATCTCCGTCGTGTTTACCACCACCACCACACACACACGGACTAAATCGTCGATGTGTGAGAAGAAGTCGTTCCGGTTTGTTTAGCGTCACGAGCTGCTTGTGGAAACGCAACTCGCCCCTGGGGCGGACTGCGCCTCGACGTTGACGGCGGTGCCCTCCGGGCTCCGTCGCCCGTGAGCGCCTCGACACCGCCGCCTGGCGAGCCACTGCGGGGACTTGCCGCGTGTGGGGCTGTCCGTTTGTGACGTCACGCAAATAGGGGCGGGGCGGGGCGGGGTGGGTGGGGGGGGTCAGATATTTGTGACGATACTCTTTAGTTCTATTCGGTAAAGTCACGTAGGTGTAAAAAAATATATAAAACAACAAAAATCACGACGTTTCGGCCACGACACAAGTGGCCTTCATCAGGTGAAGGGACCGAACTGTCAGCGCTGTCCTCTAGACAGTCTGGTCCTTTCACCTGATGAAGGCCACTTGTGTTGTGGCCGAAACGTCGTGATTTTTGTTGTTTTATATTTTTTTTACCTACGTGACTTTACCGGATAGAACCAAAGAGTATGGATCCTTGCAGTCACGAAAGCTTCAAATCTAGAATTTGTGACGATGCGTGACGAGGGGAAGGGGTTTGAGAAATGTGACGTCACATAAAAATGCTGCAACTTTAAATAATTATAGACGACACGTTCTACTTAATTAAATAGACTGTTTAAATAAATGTTTTTTTCCTGCAACTTCAGAGTGCAGCGCCACATTAAACACCCACTACAATGACAATAGTTTAAAGCGATTTGAAGCATGTTTTATATATTTTTGGGGGGGGGGTAGAGCTTTGTGACGTCATATTTGAGGGGGTGGGTCTGACTTTTTGTGACGCCGTGTGAGGAAGTGGGGGGGGGGCAAAAATCGTCCAAAATCGCGTGACGTCATTTATGGACGGCCCCTAAAGGCGCAGCACCGCAATCGCTTTGCTCCACGCCACCGCTAGCGGATGGGTAACAAACCCAGCCTGGGGCTGTGTTGTTTGTTTTTGCTGCCTTCCGCTCACGGACAACACCGGAAACGATTATTCGAACCGATCCTGTGACTCCCCTAGGTCGACTCAGCCTGAAATGCGTACCTGGTGCGGTGTGTAAACATCGCCACTGACTGGGGAGACAAAGGCGGTCGGGCGTGGTGATGGCCACCCACCCCCCTCGTGTGCCGTGCCGGCCTTCGTAGGTGCTCGCCAACAGCACTTGCCCCTACAGTCTGTTACAGGCTACACGGGGGATCTTTGTCTGTGCGTGACTCGCTACTGCCATCTAGAGCACCAGGGCCCTGAATTTGCGGATGAAGGTGAAGCACTGCAATTGCTTTGCTCCTGGCCACTGCTAGCGGATGGGTTCCAAACCAGTCTGTTGTTGTTGTTCTTTTTGCTGCCTTCTCCAAGCTTGATCAGGGTGCCACGGTGGCTAGGAGATGTTAACTACCTCGCTTGGTATGCAGGAGGTCGTGGGTTTGATCTCGACCCTAACGCCTGCTGCTGTATATTTGGAGTTTGTGTGTCTCTCTCTCTCTTACCCATGGTGAGATGTTAACTACCTCGCCTGGTATACAGGAGGTCGTGGAGTCGATCCCGACCCTAACGCCTGCTGCTGTATATTTGGAGTTTGCATCTCTCTCTTACCTATGGTGAGATGTTAACTACCTCGCCTGGTACACAGGAGGTCGTGGGGTCGATCCCGACCCTGACGCCTGCTGCTGTATATTCGGAGTTTGCGGTGTCTCTCTCTCTCTCCCGGTGGTCGTGTGGATTTTTCTCCGGGTCCTCCGCTTTTTCCCTCCACATTTAGAATCAACATCACCACGCGTTTAGAGTAGTTGGCTGCTTATACATTTGCACGTGATAAGCCGCTTCCGTTGAGCTATCATTTGTGGTGGCCAGCTCGCTTCTGATAAAGAAGAGCTACATTGCTCAGTAGGCCTTACCTAGTGAAAAAAAATGTTTTTAGCTTTGATAAATCGGACTGATATAATTAGTTTATATTGTTTGTTCATATTAAGGGACTTGCTTACCAGTTTATTTAGTATTCCTATCGCTGTATTTGTATATTGTGTTCGTTGTCGTAACTTGCAGACCCGTCCACACCTGGACACCTGTGAGAAAGAGCTTCATAGCTCATCGGATTCCTCCTCCAGTCTAAATAAATATTTTGATTCTGAGATGGTGCTCTGAAAGAAAGGCAATTCATAGGGTAGGATTAGTTGCCCTTTATCTTACACTATACATACCTAGTGACACAGCGCTAACTGTTGTACAGCAGCTGCAACTGCAGGTGGACACTTAGCGCACACGCCGTTGAGCATGTACACGGCTGTGTGTGTGCCGGCAGGGCGGAGGAACTGGGGCAAGGGTCACGGTGGACCTCGTGGGGAGGCCCCTGGAACCTTCTAGGGGGTTTGAGAAGGGAGGCGTGGCTAGGGCGGAGCCAAGCCGCGCCGAGGGGAATAAAAGGAGCGGAGAGCGAGAGCTCCGGGCTGCTGGTTCTGGGAGTGGATTCGTCTCGTCGCTGTCGTCATCGCCGCCTTCGCCCGTTCATTGCGTGGCCGGACAGTTGTCGGCTGTCTCGGTCGACGCCGTCGGTGCAACGCGGACAGGGTCGTGTCTGGGCCGGGTCGTGCGGCAGCATGGTCCTGAGAGAGAGGGGCCGGAGTTGGTGGCGTGAACTCGACAACAATAAAAGGGAAGGACGGTGCCTCCTGCGACTAACTCGTCTCCGACTGAGTGTGTGCGCCGCACGCCGCCACCCGCACACACACAAACGCCTCGAGTAGAAGGAAGAAGAAGAGACCTACGACACTGCACATATATAAAACAAAAAGAAAATCAACACATTCGTCAAAAGGACTGTGTTGACTTAAATGGGGAAACATATATAAATTAACGTTATGGGCAATGGCCCTTCTTCTTGAGGGCCCAGAGAGATAGTTGATGAGGGTTGGAGTCTACACCATGGGGCTTGATCAGAATTAAACTTAAAAAAAAATTCTGATGACCAGTTTTGTTAATTTGCATATGAATAGTTACATATACAGTATAGTAGTTTGTTTAACCATGTGATAACTCAGGCGACTAGGATAATCTAATTTGAAAGGGTGACTGACTTTGGTTACCAAAATGATGACAAAAATTGACAACTAAAGTACGGCAATTAAACAAATATAAACACATGAAAAAAACAACTGCATCGTTTGAGAAATAGAAAATATTGCACGAATATAAATACGTGTTAAATAATACATTCCCTGTACCGTAAGTCGGCTCGCGCAGATTAATGGTAGACCGATCATAGCACAATCACAAAATTAAGTGACAGAAACAGATCAAGGGTGGCTATTGTACTATGTTTAAACCGACAAGGATACAAGTCAAATGCAGCAACAACAACAGCAACAACAGCAGCCGCCAATCGCCACTAAAGTGGCGTTGACGTCACCACAGCGCTTGTGCCAGACTAGGTGCACTCCGAGGCCACGTGAAGTGTCGAAGGCTCGCTGTTGGTAAGAGGTCACGGGACAGACTCAGTAGGTGCCATCGGTCGACTGAGATGACTGTGGCAAATGCCACAACCAGTGCCCCCTACTGTGCCAATTGCGTTTTACACGCCCGAGGCTCCGCTCATTGTTGTGAGCGTCGCTCCTCTACCCTCTGCTGTTGTTGGAGGGCAACTGCCTCCAACTGCCCATATACAAACACATACTATACACAAGGTGCAGAGGTAAAGGGGCAGCCCTGCAACTGCTTTCTCACTATTGATGTAAGGGGTTCTACCAGAGCCCCTTTAAAAGTTATTTAAAAATCCGAATCAAAATACAGTATATATGTACTAGCTTTTTTTGCCCGTCCAAGGACGGGCGTATATTGCAGTAAATCTGAAATATTCAATGAAGGGGCGGTTGCCCCATGTGGAGTGACGTCACGCGCTAATGGTTATTGGGGAGGGGTGTGGCATGTGGAATGACGTCACCCCCTCATGGCTATTGTGGAGGGGTGCGGCATGTGGAGTGACGTCATCCGCTCATGATTATTAAAAGAGGGGAGGGATGCGGCATGTGGAGTGCACGACTAGCGTTAGTGTAAATTTCCACGCGAACATGAATATTAATGAGGGGGGGGCTCTTTTGCAGTGACGTCACGAACGGATGTAGCACTGTGCTGCGTAGATGCATTTTTACCGTCACTTTCTGTAAAGAAACGTCATATTCGAAGCGACTTTGCGTAATAAATAAATTCAGCTCGACCTTCCTCTGCTTTAGTGTAAAAATCCACCCACTCATGAATATTAATGAGGGGGTGGGCCTCATGTGGAGTGACGTCACGCGGGGGTGGGACTCATGTGGAGTGACGTCACGCGCGGGACGAACAGACATTTCTGGTGGGAATACTGGAGGAATCCGATGAGCTCTAAAGCTCTTTTTCACACTGGCCGGTTGTCTTGGAAGAGGTGGGAGTACCCACGCTTTACCCCGCCGCACGAGACCTGCCGATCAGCTGACTGTGTGGTCTACCCACTTATCCTGCAGGGTGGATATAGGCGGGGGAGGAGATGTAGAAAACTTTGGCCAATTGTCGCAAGTATCAACTACCGCGTCCGGACATCGAACCAGCGACGCTATGGATCGCGAGTCCATTGTTCTAACTTACACAACGGCATTTGTAGGGCTAATTCATTCTTGCCATGTTTTGTATGATGATACTGCGTTGGTCGTGATGCCAAGACCGTAGCCATGGAGTCAACATTAGGGGGGACCAAATCTTCCAGGGTGTCTGGGGGTTCCAATCCCAAAAAATATCCAAATTTGAAAACTAATTTCCTGCCTAAAATATACAAAAAATTCACTAACACATGGGATGGACTTCTTATTTATTTTTTACAATAATGTCTAATAGTGTATTGTATTACATTGCTCTGTTTATACTTTTTTACCATTTCTTGTTTCATTGAGGGATTAATAAAGTAGAATCACAACCACAATCATATAAACATAAGTCGATGCATTGATTTATATGAAGACAAGCCCAGATATTGTGGCCAAGGTTTAGTAAATTGTTGTTTTTATTTACATAGCATAGCAATTTTTTTTTATAGAAATATATTGGGGGGGACATTTTGAGCATATTTGAATATTGGGGGGATGCATCCACTTATCCCCCAATATATATTATAGTTACGGCTTTGAGTGATGCACAAAATAACTAAAAAAACTTAACTTATTCATGCATAATACTTCCTTGAAAGGTAAAACATAACAGACGACGTTCCGGACAATGTTCCTTCATCAGAGCACATCATCTGCACATCATCTGCTATGATGAAGGCCCATTGCCCAGAAATGTCGCTTTTTGTATATTTCACACACATTTTGTGCGCAAAGTATGCTACGAATAAGGGCCATTCCCCGAAACGTCGCCTTCTCGTTTATTTTACATACACATTTGCATTGACGAATAAAAGTATCATTACCTTCATCCAGCAGCGTTCGAGAATTCGACTAACAAATGAATTAATTCGACTGACGAATGAATGAATTCGGCTGACGAATGAAAGGATTACTTGAATTCGACTGACGAATTAAATTAAGGAATTCGACTGGTGAATTAAATTGTTGATTGAATTCAACTGACGAATGAAATGAATGAATTCGACTGACGAATGAAATTAATGAATTCAATTGACGAATTAAATTATTGAATTCGACTGGCGAATTAAATGAATTAATTCGACTGTCGAATGAAATTATTTAATTCGACTGACGAATGAAATGAATGATTTCAACTGACGAATGAAATTACTTAATTCGACTGACGAATGAAACGCGTGAATTCAACTGACGAATGAAATCGTTTGAATGAAATCGACGGAGGCGTGGCCCCGAGGAGGGTTCACGTGACGTCGCGCGGCATTGTGGGAGCGTTTGTCCTTTCCCTCTTCGCCTCGCAAGATGGTGGGTCGCGCTGCGCGCCGGGCTCCCCACGTCGGCTCCGCAATCCGACTCAATCCTCGCCTTTCGCCTCGCTAATCTCGCCACAAATGTTTCCGTGAGCTCCGTTGAGTTGCCGCGCGCGCGTCCGTGCTACTATTTGTTTCGTTACCGGATATATTTTGATAGATATTTTGAGTTGTCCGGCAGCGAATCGTGGGGAGGGTGGTGGCAGTGGTTAAAAAAGACTCGCGTTATTAATGAAACTAACGAGCTTGCGATTGTCTTGTTTAAGATGCTGATGTGTTCAAATTCTCTATACCTAGATAAGTTTCGTAATTTTGTCGGTGGTTGGTTCGGTATTAAAGAGTAATAGAATCGCGGCCTAGTCGGGCGGGCTTCATTTAACATTGTTCGTAAGACCACGTTGCTCTTGACATTAATAGGTACAAGTCACGCTAGTTAAGAACTAGGGCTGTTAAAATGTAACTTCGCTTTAAAATGCGCATGTCTTATAAATACTGTAAAAGCGAACAAGTACCTTGTATGCGCGTGTTAAGTTGCGTTACGAAATGTCTTTAAGTGGCTTTGTAACGTAGGCCCGTAGCCTATTTCATTCTAAGTCAATTTTATATTTTGTAACATTACTGCATTACAAATGAATTATAAAATTGTGTCCCTGAAATCGTCCAGCGAGAATTGGCCACTGTAGATTATAACTAAATCTAATTGTCATTTATATGTATTGCTTCGCGTTAGTTTAATTATCTTTATGTATATTATGCTGCTTTTCGTGGAAAAGTTGGGTAAATTAAAAGTTTAAAGTGGTTCAATGCTAGTTGCAAAAAAATAACTGAATGAAAAGTTTAGTTTACCTAAGTAATTGTCAAGGATAATTTTCATCGTAAGTGTTCTATGCAACCAGCCATAGGAACTGCCATCTAAATGTTCCAGCCCTTTGGTCAATCCACTGCTGGATGAAGGCCTCTCCCCTGAACCTTGCGCGAAAGGTCAGGGTTAAATTGACCATACTTAACCACGTTGCTCAGTGTAGGTTGGATGAAGACGTGAGAGAATATTTATCGCGGTGTGTATATTTATGCACTGCCCGCTGCTAAAAAAAAACCGCTCGTAGTCGTAGGCCGGCTCCCGCCCGACTTATTAATCAAATTGACTTTTCGAGTGGATTAATGTTGTCTTGTGTTCATCGTCCGGCCAGGCCCGAGGACCGAAGAAGCACCTGAAGCGCTTGGCAGCGCCCAAGCATTGGATGCTGGACAAGCTCACGGGCGTGTTCGTAAGCGCCTGCACCACGACCACCACACAGCCACGCACACTGTCCTAACAAAAGCCTCCGTTACACATGGACAATCGCCTACATGATTAAAAGTACAGGAGCGCATCCTCGCTTAAGTCGTGAAGCTCGTTTCGATAGGGGGTAGTTCTGTATTGCCCATGTTTAGTTGGTTATAGTGTAAGGACTTTGGATGCGAGACGACACCCAGAGTATCTGGGAATTTTTGAGGCGAAAGTTTGCGAATGAAGTTGATTAACAGTGGGATTGCATAACCAGCGAATTATTAAAGTTGAGATGGTGCGAGTTTAACTTATACTTACTGTATGACAACTGCAAAAACACTATGAGAACGTTTGGGCAGCCGTTAACTTTCGTGTAGCCGATATTGCCTATAATTACGGCCCTCTCGAAGCCGCATTTGGCTGCTTCTGTGCCAAATAGTGGTCAATAAGGTGCCAACAGCAAAGTGTTGACACGACGGTCGCCGCCTGCCTGTAGTCCATGTGGCTTTGGTGGCAACTTTACGGTGAACCACATTCACTTGCGAAGCGGGCGAAAACTGAATTTGATGGAAGCGTTTAGAATATTTCGCCGCTGCAGATTTCCGTGATAAGCCGCTTCGTTAACATTTGTGGCCAGGTCGCTTCTCAGTGGGCCTTAGTTTTACACGATACTTTTAAGATTGTGCATGATCCCTATATTCCATTCATTTTCAAAGAATCATCTGTTTATACATATTTGATAAATTGGTATCATGAGCACAGAGGCAATACTTGATTTTTCTATCGTCTTGTCCCTGTAGTTTTAATAATAGAACCGATCATCGGGTAGAGTAAATAGATTCTTTAATCTGATGTCCCGGCTCTCTAATGCAGCGATCCCCAACCTTTTTGGCACCAGGGACCGGTTTCGTGGAGAAAAAAAAGTTCACGGGGGGGGGGGATCATTGGGTCTTCCCCTTTTTCAAAGAAGCTCTCCAATGACGTTTGTTTATGACTGATTTTGGCTACTCGGGGTTTGCTTGTGGGCTTACCAACACCACGTGACTGAGACAAGTGCGGGAAAGAGGCGCGGACGGAAGTGGTAAATAAAATAATGGGCGGGCCACGCGCGGACTCACGGCTCACCAGCTGCTGTGCGGCCCGGTTCCTAACAGGCCACGGACCGGTACTCGCCCGGGGGTTGGAGACCCCTGCTCGAATGTAAACAATGGAGGCAAAGGAGAAGTATTAACACTGCGTGTGCACGGGCAGGCACCACGACCGTCGACGGGCCCCCACAAGCTGCGCGAGTGCCTGCCGCTCATCATCTTCCTGCGCAACCGCCTCAAGTATGCACTCACGGGCGACGAGGTGAAGAAGATCTGCATGCAGCGCTTCATCAAGGTGGACGGCAAGGTGCGCACGGACAGCACCTACCCGGCTGGATTCATGGGTACGCAGCGCCAATCCCCCCCCCAGCCTTGACATGGTCATCAGGGGGTGGTTGGCTGTAGACTGGAGGATTTTCACGGGGTCCGCTACACTGATTTTTAGAAGGGGGCATTGGTAAAGTTAACGCTAACGTTGATTCATTCAAGTCTTAACCAAGCACACGGGGGGATGGTTATAATGTTTGTAATCGTGTGGCAAATTTGGTTTAAATTTTTATTTGTAACGAATTGCAATAACAAAGTAATCTAACCCAAAAAAAAAACCTGTATGGACAAAGTAATTGTTATACCAGGTAGCAATGTTTTTTTGTAGTTGAACCCATGTGTGATAGCACAAACGTGGAAATCACATTCGACTCTTGTTCTTTTTCCATTTTTGAAAGAACAGTTTTGTATGCAAACCATTTTGCTCAGTGTGTGTAAATACAAGACAATGCATTAATTGAAATAAAAAATGCCATAATGTTGCATTACCCTGGCCCTAATAGAGCCCGCGTTTGAGCTGTTCTTGTGCCCTGTGCGGTCAATAAGGTGCCTAAAGCAACGTGTTGATAGGACGGTCGCCACTTGTCTTTAGTCACGTGGCTTTGGTGGCAACTTTACGTTCAACTACATTCTCAGCTGTCGTCCTGCAGTTAGTTTTTGGAAAGAGAATTAGAGATGAAAGCTCTACAGTTTATTACTGCTTTAAAATTAATGGCTTAGTATAACAGACTAGTTGGACGTTTTGTGAAGGCTATGGATCCTCGCGTATACTCTTTCAGCTTAAACTGCTTAGACACACAGAGGAATCGCATCATTACATTACACTTATGGAGTGGAAGACGGAGGGTAACATCGAATACAAGCTCACTTCGGATATACGCTCACCCACCGTTCCTCCCAAGGGGTGCGTTGAATATCCAGCTTCTACTGTAACTCTAAATTCTGTTGATTTTTACACGCTTTTTATTAACTCCCTCTGCCTTTTGTTGTATTAAAGTCTTGTAACTCAATTTTAACCCACTTCCCAATGTGGTATCGACTGCAAACTTGGGATACTTATGTCATACTTAAGACAATACTATATTCTATCATAAATACGAATTATACATTTATTTATTTTCATGTTATGTTTCGGCTTTGGTCTAATTGTCCACATTCCACTGACGTTGGCTGTAAATGACCACGGTCTGTTGCGTTATGGCAAGCTTCGGGGCCACTTCCTGGAGTCGTGGAGTCATTTCATGAAAGCGTGTTTTAAAAAAAAAAGTTTTTAAAAAATATTACTTTGTGTGGTCCGTGACTCGTAACAGACGTGATCACCATCGAGAAGACCGGAGAGCACTTCCGCCTGATCTATGACACAAAGGGCCGCTTCGCCGTTCACAGAATCACAGCAGAGGAGGCCAAGGTGGGCATTGCAGCACTCGGGCTCCACCCATTGTGTCGTACACATGTGCGCGGAACACAGTTGGCTTGGTTATTTGTTCTGCCCTGCATAGAATAATGAAAAAGGCGTAGCAGCCAAGGGATGGAATTTGCTTGTGTGCAGATGCTAGGTGGGTATTTGTCCTCGTAGAAGATGACATTGACATAGGTCGGCCTTCATATAGAATTAGGTTGAGCACGGCTGATGGTGATTAGGCTGTAGAGATCTCATAAAGTAATTTTTTGTTGGAAACAGCTGTGTTGGATGGTGGGACACATAATATGCAATAGAACTGGGAATACCATAATTCTGCATGGATACCAAGGGCTGTAGCCTTTTTGAGTGACTACTGCTCTCCAACTACATGCTACAGCAATGTGAGGGACCTTTGACCAATCAGATTTTTATCTGCGGCGGTTACTCATTCCCTCTATAAAACACACTAGGTTATCAGTATATCGCTGATGAGCTGTTGAAGCTTGATTATAATTATTAGCGCACGTAATTGGGCACACGCACATACTTAATGCAACGTTTTTTTATACCATACGCATGTGTGCAGATAAGCTGATTTTTCACGTGAGAATTATATGCACACTTTATGGCCTTATCTTGGATTGCGGGCCATTAAAATAATCATTTGTGAAGCACTTTTTGCCGACAGATAAAATAACATTTCATCAGCCATAAGTCCATGTGGATCAATGCTTTTGGGCAGTATTAATTTAAGAAGGCAAAGTTTTGGACAGATTTAAATTGCTGAACCTCCAGAACTCAAAATACATCCATGAATTAAGGGATGAGCATTCGTCCAAGAAGACCTTTCAACTGATGGACCCAAATGTTACTTTATTACACACATCATTGGTCCTTCAGGCAATGACATTTAGGCATCGGCCCTATGCTCCATTGATGTGGCATTCAAAACATCAGCCTCTTACCGTAATCTCGGGTTTACAGACAGTTGTTTACCTTGTGTTTTGAAGCAAAAGTTGGTAGGTTTCTGCATGTATGCATATATTTTTTGTGCGAGAACTGTTTTAAACGCGTTGTTTGTGGCGGCTCTGTGCAGTACAAGTTGTGCAAAGTGAAGAAGGTTCGCGTGGGAACCAAGGGGATCCCCTTCCTGGTGACGCACGACGCTCGCACCATCCGCTACCCTGATCCCCTCATCAAGGTCAACGACACCGTGCAGCTCGACCTGGAGGCTGGCAAAATCACGGACTTCATCAAGTTTGACACCGGTAAAACCTAGCGCGGTTGCTGAGCACAGGCCCAAAACACCAAGCTACCAGCAGTGAATGACGCTATTTATGAAGGTGTAATAGATACGAGGAAATGCATTTCTTGAATTGAACAAGGCTGCAGGAACTTTGGGAAATACAAAGTTAAGCAGTGTGAGGAACGTTGGAAAGATGCATGTTTTAACCAGTATGGCGGCCTGTTAAGCTGCAAAAAAATTCTGTATCAGTCCCAATATTAACTTGGAAGAAACAATTGTGGTAAGGTTCACTTTTCAAAATAGAATCTGTAATGAAGAAGCGCAAGGCTTTTTTTTTTAACACAAACCAAGAGACTTAAAAATAATCGTCTTTCTGACCATCTACATGGGCGCAAGTTAAATCTCGAGTGTTATACAATAACACACTTGTCAAACATTCAATTATGTTTCCTCATTCAATATTCTGACTCGTAGTTAAGAGCCTAGGTATGTGTATAGAATATAATGACTTTGCGGTTGCATCTAATTTTTATTCTAATTAAATGCGTCATTCGCTATCACAGAATTGTTCTTGATATTTCATCGGTCTCTACTGGTTTGGCATGTATGCGATGAGTGTCTGGTGGCCGTATTCTGCTCGGACTGATGATGATATATTTTTGTCGGTGACTGTTTGGATGACACTGCGGATATGGGGCTGAGGTCTGGCAGAAATAAGGCTGAATCACCATAAAGCGAAAAAAACAATTACGCTTAATTTATTATGTAGAATTATTTAAGTTTAATTTGGTGGGGGGGGGATTCCTTTTACGTTTCAGTTCAGTGTCCACTTCTAAGCTGATGCGATCGTTTTACTTACGCCTGCAGGAAACCTGTGCATGGTGACTGGCGGCGCCAACTTGGGGCGTATTGGCGTGATCACGAACCGCGAGCGCCATCTGGGTTCGTTCGATGTGGTGCACGTCAAGGACGCGAACGGGAATACGTTCGCCACCCGGCTGGGAAACATCTTCGTCATCGGCAAGGTGAGGCGCGCAGGGAGCTGGTCTTGGTGCACTCCCAAGCCAGGATGACGATTTGTTCACCGTTATTAAACATGGTCTCGAGTGTTATTTGTCACGCGCATTGCCATGTGGTCAAACAGTGCCTTACATTTGAAGAATAAATATACATCAATGGAATTTAGCTGTTATGGACCGATGATGATGATTTTTTTAATTGGTGACTTTTTGGATGACACTGCGGATATGGGGCTGAGGTCCATTAGAAAGATAAATTCCACTCTGTTTTACTTAAACTTAACTTTAGCAGTATCAGTCGTGTAATCAAGGCTTTACTAATAAGCTGGACTGCCAATAAACTTTGTATTTATTTAGAGTCAAAAAAGTTTTCATCCTTAAAAAAACCTTTGTTTTACCCTGTGACCATTATTCCATAAACATACTTTAATATAGAAATATGAATTCAGATCTTATAATGCCTGCACTTGGAAAGCAATACCTCCCATAATCAAAGCTGTTATTTAAGCAAATATAATCATAACTCTTTTCTCTTAATAACAATATACAGAATTTGATTAAGCATGTGTACAAAACTGGTCCAGGTTTTAACCTTGGTCTCATCAGCAGGCTTGTTGAAATACTGCTGGCTTACATGTTATATTGACAACACAATTATAATATACAATGTTGACGTTGACTGTGCTCCTTATTGCCCACCCCACCTGCCCTATTCGGTGATCAGGGCCAGAAGCCGTGGGTGTCTCTGCCACGTGGCAAGGGTATCCGTCTGACGATTGCCGAGGAGAGGGACAAGCGGTTGGCTGCCAAGCAAGTGGCCAGCTAAACGGCCTGCTGCTGCAGAATCTCTCTCCGTTCAGCCACCCACAACACTTCTTGGCATTGTCTCCTTGTTGTCGCTTGTTTTGTCGAAAGATCTTGTATAGTGCAAGAGACAATAAAAGAGGAGGGTTCCCAACATTCCTGTTGTTGGTACTTGTGTTTTGTTGGCAATTGGTATTCATGTGTGTTATGTTTAGCTGGTAGAAGAATTGTTCACCTCTTGTATATTCAGACGGATGCATTGCACCAGTTTTGTTCTGGGTCATGTATAGTATATTGCATTACATTCCGTCCTTTAGATAACTAATAAACTTTACATTAAAAAATCAAATGTGTTTTCCGAATTAGTGCATAGTTGTAAGCAGGATTGGTTAGATGTGATAGCACACAGGAACTCTCAGATTTTGGATGTGGGTGACATCACTCGCCAGCCGAACAGGAATCCACGCAGGAAACCAGCCATCAAATGTGTTGGAATACAGTATGGTCTTAAATGAAAGGCACAATCTTTGTTCCTTTATGGCAATATTTAACTCTGATCTTTATAATTGTTTCTGTATTTAATGGGCCAGTATTAGTAAATGGACAATGCAAGTACTGCTGATGGCTTGGAAGTTATCCAAACACGAAATGACAATTACCTGAGAAGTGCGTCATAGGGTCCTCCAATCTTGAAAGCTGTGCAGGATGTATAGGTATGGTGACGATGCATATATATGTTGCAGCAGGGTTAATGGCCATCACAAGGGAGACGGACATTTTTTGGCTCGTATTGAAACGGCTGTACAGCGTATGGACCTGAACTCAAATTTCCCTGTACAACAATATGGGTAAACCGTTTGGATTGACAGGGATGCAATCATGGCGTTGGGAGGCCCTCATTCATGGGTGAAATGACTGGTTGCACAAGTCCATTGATAAAAACATACTTGCTCGGGATAAGTCGTTGAACTTGCCAAGTGTTAACTACACCCTTTTGGTATAAATTGCAATATTGTAAATGCTATTTGGCATTGGTTTAAGCGTTGACAACATCTGACCTACATGGAAGTTGATTCTACTGTGTTCAACCTCATTTTAATTGATAGGTAATAATTTGACTCAGGGACGGTAATGCAAATTTTTTAGATGAGTAGCTTAAAAGCATTTTCAGGCTGAAAGGGGCTGAACAGATTAATTTATTTGGTGCACGTGCGTTGCATAACGCAATCTCCCAACTGGATCACTCGACGTCTGGCCTCTGCAATGGAGGATGGTAATTCACTTTCCCGCACCTCCGATTAGCATGTTTGGCTACGTACGGTGTGAAAGAAGTTCAACATACATTGAGTCGAAACGTCACCTTTTATATAATTTGTCCTGCTTGGACAAATTATATAACGGTATATTTTACACCGTAAAATGTATATTAATAACAAAATAGGCATGTGGCATAATTTATCTGCATATCTTCTGGATCGCTTGGTCGACCGGAATAGGGCAAGTAGCAAGTCATATCGTGCCGAGTTTTGATATATTCCAGCTGCGATTAGGCCCTGGGTATAGACGCAATGGCTTCATTGCATTGGTCACAGCCAATGTAAATCAACTCAAAAGCGTCTGGGCCCTTTTTGAACACGAGTGACAAGCAGAGGATGCTATAAATGTGACAAGGTCAGCAACTCGGGACGTTTAGGAACAGCATGGCAAGAAACTCGGCCTTGAAAGATAATATATAATGTGACATTTTTGATAAATGGTCCCTTCTTAAATGTGCTATGAAGAAGGGCTATTGGGTTTTTCGCACATTGCCATAAGAATTTTATAATCAATATTAAAACCGGAGGAATCCGATGAGCTATAAAGCTCTTTTTCACTAATGTCCAGTAGGGGGCGGGACAGAATTTGCTCTCCGGATAAATAAAAGATTTACACCATACCCCCGCAGTTAACAATAAATTAATGGGGTTCAATGCAATATCGTGGGGTGGGTAACGGTCATTAACCCTCATTCAGGGTATGAACAAGCGCATTTCTACAGGACGTCATTTATCTTTATTTTTTTTGTTTAAACGTGCAGTCCAGGATTAAACATGGTGATTGTGACAAATTAAACTGTGTTGAGGTTCACTTCGACCACGCAAATGTTGCATCACCTTGATGTTGCCATCAACGGGCACTAACTGCAAATGATTAACCTCCTCGACCTTCAACCCCGTGAGCCAAGACGTCGATGACGTCTACGCAGCAGCAAAATCCACGGTTTAAACTCTACGCCGATGCTCCATCGTGGTGAAGTATGGACAAACAACCCCTAAAATGTTTGTTGGGTAAAACAATTGTTGTAGACGCCACGTGCACTTGTGGGACCTCAATGCTGCGTCAGTATATTGGCGCGAGATCACTCGCGTTGCATTTGACGATGCTGCACCACCAGTGGTGGAAATGGGGCCGGAACGCCGTGGTGGAAGTTAAAATCTGAACCCCGCCTCTTATTTATTTTACTCACAGATAGACACCCCCCCCCCTAGACTAACAGACACGCGCAGAGGCCCACTGAAACCCACAAACACGGACATACCTACAGACCCACAGACACGCTCAGAGACCCACAGACACGTTCAGACACCGACATACGCGCACAGAGACCCACAGACACGCTCAGACACCCATATACGCGCGCAGAGAACCACAGACATCTATAGAGACCCACAGACGCGCACAAAGACCCACAGAGACACACACGGAGCGAAGCTCCTCCTCGCCCCCTCCTCAGATCTAGTGGGGGTGGGGGAATAATTTATGAGTTCCTCCAGTAATTTATTCCCATTTCCAGCCCTGTTTATCACACTGGTTAAATCGGGTTGGTGCATGCGAGATTATCCACGCATTGCTGTTCTCACATCAGTCAGCAGGTGGCGGTCGAGATCCGTGATGGCTCACAAAGGACTTGGGCGTATGGCTTTATTGAATAGAACAAAATCTTACATTCTTAAGCAAATAAAGACTCTTTTATATCCTCAACAATGCCTTTGTAATCTATAGCCAAGCGTGCAGCGTTTTCATTCAATCTGTGAACAATCTGTTTTCACAAAGTTACCCAATCTGATGTTGTAGAGGACAAAACACATTCTTTTTGTTAAATTGTATTTGTATCACGGGTCCGTGGTGTATAGTACCGTTTATTATTCACTCCATCACTCTGGCCTCTCTAACTCTGTTATGAAGAAGGGATATTGCCCATAACGTCACTGATTATATTTTTTTCCTCTTTAAAAAGTCAGTGATTTTGCTGCTCAAATGAGCATTGTTGCAATACTCCCCCAAGTCGGTGGTGGAAATTCCACATTACTATGGTGGGGAGAAGTATAAATCCGTTGGACAACCGCTGTTGCCTTCCCCCACACGTTGGTATTCACTTTCCTCTTCAAGGGCAGTGCTTTTGAAGAATGTGCTGAGTTTTTGGATATAATGCCTTTTGGAGGCCTTAGTATTGTTTTTGGATCTGAATTTCACTGTACAGTTTGTGGCTTGTTGACCCCCCCCCCTCCCCCGGTGACCTTTGCAAAAGAGACCCCTTTGTCTCAGAGGTGTGTTCTCTGAGCTATGCACCCAGCCACCTGAGTTTTTGACTCCAGGAAATGATAGGTTTCCGGCCTGCACTGTTCCTCTGATGTGATGGGGTTTTTCCGAGTCATTCACAGGGTTGGTTCCAGGAAAGGTCTACGTTAGTAGTGAATTACATCCGAACTCATCCTGAGGCCATCCTGTCACTAACCCAAAACTGACCAGCGTGTTAAGATGTTCAAACACTAAATAGATACCTTTTGCAAGGAATGAAGTCTGCATTAACCACACGTACCTGTGGTGAACATGCAAACATGCTCCGATAATATACGCATTGTCTTTGAAACTGATTGGCCAACACCAGACAGCTTGCTTTAATGCAGACTTGATTCCTTGAAAATGGTATCTCGTTGGTGTTTGAACATTTTAACACCTCCTGTCTTATTTACAAAAGGGGTAAACCCTATTCTAAATATTCGTACTGAATTATGGCCTAATCCTAACCCTATGAGGAACATGGCACGGCCGAGGGCAAGTGTTCAATCCTGGCCGCGTATTTAAATAAAAGAGAAATGCGTTGTCTCCACCCCGAATGAGGATTCATGACCACCCACGGTGTTGCATTAGTAGTCCATTAAGTCCCGAACTGTTAACTGCGGGGAATCGGTGTCAATCTTTTATCTGGAGAGCAAAATTCCTATGGTAATGTGCCAATCTCACCGCTTACAAATGTTTACATTCAGGATACATTAAACTAACCCAGACCAATCTTACGAACGCGTGCATTACACAACGCTTTTCAACATTTTAATTCACGTGATGTTTATTTACTTGTGGAACTCGAGGGAAAAAGTCAGCGGCAAATTTGATCTGCATATCGTCTCCGTTTGCTTTGGCTCATTTTTAACTGGGCAAAGTCATTCGCAGCAACACAACTTCACACCAGTTTGCCTTCGATTGGATCATCTTTATAAACGGTTATAATGCTGCAACCTTAAATCTTGGTTGAAAACCATAAAAAAAAGCCTTCCACCTAACTACGATTAAGGCCTCGTTGCAGTCCCAAACGTACACAAATGAAGGTAATGATGCTCTGTATTTACCCCAAGAAAATTTGTTTCAAGACGTTCTCGGGCGAGTCGAGTAAATGTTGCCAACGAGTGTTTTTCTTCATCATATATAGGGGACGAGGCCAGCTCATCCAAGAGAAACCCCACCACGCATACAAGGCGATAGCACTAAAAAGCACGGCACAGATGGATTCAACAACGCCACTGCTGTACTTCCAGCTCGCTGCCCAGTTTTGGAATTGAACAAAATATTTACACGATCTACCGACTTCTCCCCTCCCCCCCCCCTACTAGGTTCACATGTGCACACCACCCACTCCCAGTTTTGTAAAACCCTACACGAGGGAACATCTACTATTGACAAGTTGAGCAGTGCATTACATACAGCGGATCACAGCGAAAGAAAAATGCCCAAGCCGAATATTCTCACCCCACTGGTTGGGTGAGGTGGGGGGGGGGAAAGAGCTCTCTTCAGTCACGGGCCTCTCGTGAGCACCCCTTAGGCTCCACGTTGGCCAGGTG